CGAACTTCTTGTTTAGCACAGGAAAGTTTGAAATAAATTTTTGGTAACCAATCCTATAACCGGGAATTACAAAAGTCACTTAACAACCGCATCACAGACTGCGCCTCAAATTGAGTAGAATAGAGTTCGGTAAGTATTTTACTCTTGAGATTATCATGAGTAGAACACACTTAAAACTCTCCCCTGAATTAAATTTTGATTTTCAATTTAATTGACGTATCACAAACAATAATATCGTCACAGCCTAATAGAGTACAAGCCTTCCCCGAATAGACAAGCACATCCAGAACGAGCCAAAACCCACCAAGTGAGCTTAATATAGATGCCGCCAACGTTAAGATCAAAGCACAGAGGAGCTCGAATTAATAATTTTCGTCACCCATCCCACGATCGGCCTTTGCTTTTGTTTATCTTTCGATAGTTTTTCGTAAATATTGAAATAATTTTGTTATTGGCTTTTGCCAATACAATTTTTGTAATTTAATATAAAATAATGAATTGCATAAAAAGTATTGCTCATTCGAGTTTAAAATGGTCGATATAGCACTAGCTTCAACGGTAACTTTATCTGGATGGTGAGTGCTCTTAGATGTAATTTGGTCAGGGAGGCACTTCGATACAAATGCAATTGGCTTGAAAGCTAGAAATATCGGACTAACTTTGTGAAAGTATCGCAACAATCGAATCAATGTCCATCTATCAAAAAGTGATATTTAAAAAAGTTTTGCTTACTTTCGAAGGCATGGACTTAAAAAGGATTTTCGTATTTTTAGAATATCGTACCTCAAAAGGAAAATAGGAAATCTTATAGGATAATCTTCATTGTCCGACAGTCGGTGTGTTGGTAGGTATATTTATCTGTAAAAACCCCATTTTCTTAAAAAGGCGTGGAGGTATCATGTTTATATAAATTAACAAATATTCGAGTTTGAAAAAGCTATGAAAAATCTTTTTTGTAAGTCTATATTATGGAATAAAAACATGTTATTTCCTGTATGCCGTTTGATTGGCATAGAATAGAAAGAAAAAACTACGCTGAATGTCATAACTTTTTGAAAACAAAATGATTGCTTGATTTAATAAGTACTTAATACATTCCACCGGGATTCATAAGCCAGAGTAGGGACTCTCGACTGAATTGGCTCAGTCGATCGATTGCACGCACTCGATTTGCTGACCCTAGTCTCGTACAAGATACTTCACTCGTGAAGTAGTGATTAAATAATCGACGTGGTACATCCGTACATATTTTTCCTAACTTTCTGTTGTAAGTTTATGTAAATGTGGCGAATATTTCATGGAAATAATGTTATTTTGGAATTGTTTAAAATAAGAATACTTTGGTACTTAACTAATTGGTTATTAAAGTTCAATTATTTAGTAAATTATTAATTTTCATCGAAGTTAAGCATTATGGAAATTCCCTTCATCATTTGCGTTCATTGGATAAGAACACAAAAAAGAGTTCTTTGTAAATTAATATAACTCATAATATATGTCAAGCAACTTTTATTAAAGCCTATAATATAATACCTATACAACATTTCCAACCGACTTCAATCGAAGTTTCTTATACATTTGAACCACGTTAAGACAAATCGGTATTAATTTTCAATTTTTAAAGGTTTAAAATTTTAATTATATAAAAATTTGATTTATAACGTAACATAAAATATAGGAAAGCGAAGAATCATGTCCACTTCGCATACATTGATTGACATGTCACATGTTTTTTTTAAAGGTCTCGTCTACCCACCATTAATTCGTAATTTGTAAATAATGTTTTGATGCCATAAAAGCTGTCAAAAGTCAAAGCTTTTTATAGTGATTCGTAAATATGGAAATAAATAAAAAATTATAACGAAAGATTTTTTTTCTGTAGTAAATGAAACAAAACGTAGTAAACCGTCATTGGGTCCGAATCGCATTGGGGTTAGTGTAGCAAACCGTCATTTTAGGGTTCGAATCGTATTCGGAAAGTACATACTATTTAAAGTAATGATCAGTTTCTTAATTTTTATCCTGACTATATTTTAATTTCCTTTTAATTTAACTTATTTCATTAATAAGTAAAGAATTAAGCTACATTTTTAGGTCGAAATTGAACATTATTTTCTGTTTACTTCGATGAAATAAATAAAATATTATTTAAGTAATTATGTTTAATTTTTCAAATTTTTGCGGCTGTAGCCGGCATACAATACAAATTCATACAAAACTTTAGTAAATTCTTTACCTATTGTGATTCATGCGTTTGTTGCATACATGCGAACACAGTGGACGCTCACCTTAATGATAGGATTAAATAAGAAGAAGTACAATCTATTTTGTTATATAAATAATAGAAAGCTTCGAATACGATCTCTTACTACTATGCCATATTATTTTAATAAAAAGCACTGATGAAAATTTCACGTCGAATAAATATCCTAACATTAACTACTTAAAATTTCTCCTGGAATCCAGAAATTCGAACATTTAAAATAAAACGTTGGAACTCACTTCACTTTAGTTGCATTTAACTGCATTTGCCAGTTCTGTGCTCCTTCTCGAGAGCTTTTAGAGATAAAATGCACGAATCCATATGGTCAGTTAGAACGAAAATGTGAACACTAAAAACTATTTAAACTCTTGTATTCCGAATGAAGAAGTACTAACAAAATTATAATCCTACGTAAAAATTCGTAGCCAAATGTAATTTTTTTTAATTTTCCAGTCTTCTACAGAATTATCGAGCAGGTAGACAATTATTTATCTAGATTTAGATCAGAGACTTAAAGAAACTACAAATAATATAATAAGCCGTTACTTAGTGTCCGTTTCCGTTCAATGAAGTTGAAAATTGTAAGCGCTGTTTTATAGATCGTAGAAAAAAGAAGAAAGATAGACAGAAACTAATCAAGTTGTACCATATTTTTTTCTATTCTGTAATATTACACTTTGGAGGTAAACACTAGTAATTATATTTTTTGATTAGTTTTGCATTCAAAATTCAAATGTTGATTGAAAGTTTCAATATTTGTAACAATACTTCTTTCGGCTGTTTGGGTGGATGCCTGAACATTGATGAGAATACGCTCTGTAGTAGCGAAAAGTAACAAGTGCTTGAAAGATTCGGCAGTCCTGTTAGGTCCTGTGTAGCTTAGCGGTTAGAGCAGTCGCCCGGATTGCGAAAGGTCGTGGAGTTCGAATCCCATCTCAGGGTGCCAGGGACCAAGTGGATTTTTTAAAGCATTTTGTATCAAGAATGAACACTAGTAGACCGGTGGCGTTGTAAATAAACGCCACGACCCGTGATCGTTGTGTTAAGCAACTTTTGCGAGGGTCGGTCACAGGATGGTTGACCGAAAAATTATTACTCGAGTTCCTCCGTACTTCAGAAGACACTTTAAGCGTTTGTAGTCGTTAAAACCCTCCAATCCGCATTGGGCCAGGGTCATGGCCCGTCCTCCTTTTCCATCCATAATAAAGCTCTGAGCCCCTGCAGTGGAGACATAAAAGGGAATGATGATGTTCATGTGACGTAGACAAATTCATATTTTAGAATTACAAATTTTGAGATTGACAGAGCATAAATATAACCCAAAAAGATTTTACGAAATTATTCACAAGAATATAGGGTACTTGGCTACTTTCGGGTCATTACTTTACAATCAACTTAGGGTGACGATGTGAAACAATAAAGCCCTTGATGATTTCAGTAGCTCATATCTCGGTCTCGAAGAATTCATTCCAAGGCCCTTCATAAATGTTTAGCTACGCTCCTCCCATCATATCTTACTTTTATTGACGATATGAGGGTCCTTTATTTCCTCTTCTGGCGAAAGTCGTAATTTTTCAAGTGGCTGCGAGATAGCCTTTTCATTGGTCTGTTAAAATTGATTTGTTTTCGATAAATAGTTATTTTTCTTTTGGGGAAATGGTATTTTATATTACCTTTATATATTAGTAATAATATATTAACAAAAAGTATAGCTCGCCGAATACAAGAGAGGTCGCGGTTTCAACTTCCGATCGTATCAGTGTAGATAATTGACTTGTCTATGTTGTGTCGTGTACCTTCGGTTTTTAGCTTGGAATCTGAGCAATGTTATCTAACATTAATATTCATATTGTTTATTGTATATTTTCATTTTTTAGGATTTTTATATTCCATATTTGTTTGAAATTAGTCTCAACATAACAAAAGAGATCACTATCTTTAAAATATAATTTAACTTCAAAGTTCCCTCACTATAAAGTTTGTGAGTTCTTGTTATAAATCTTCAGTGCATTAGATCCATTACGTCATGCTTTTCTGTCAAACTTTCCAAGTTGCCATGAAAGATTAGACAATGAGAACGATATCGAAGTTATCTATACCATTAAAACTATATAGAAGGCAATTTCCCTGGGTAAAAGCAGTTTAAAAGCAAACGGATAGAGAAATAGGCTCAGTTTAATGGTTTCCACAAAAAAGGTGCTATACAAAAAAGCACCTCAAACTGCTTTATTTGAATAGATCGGCTTGACTATTGAACAGAAAACGCAAAGCAAAATATAAACATGGTATCAATAGAGATTCGACGCTTGTTCCTAGGACTCGACATAAAATTGAATATATTGAGACCTACTTTCACAACTGTTATGAGAACGTTATCGACAGTGTAGATCGATTGGTGGCTAATTAAAAATGTTCAGCGTTTGTTCTCGAAGTTTTGTTTCCGACTGCCACACAGCCTACAAAGTTCGATGGATAATGAAACGAGGATTAAGTGGTATTCGACAAGCAAAAAATATGTGACTATCACCACAATGTTTTGATATTATTAAAACCACAAGTTTAAATATATGTTATTTGTCTTTGACGTCTTAATTTGGAATAACAAGTGATAATAGCGTAAATTAGAACTTCGACTACTACACAAAACCACTCAAACACACAAAAGAAAATGTTTGCTAAATAATTCCTGAGTGATTTGTGGCTTTTGGACGAACATACTTATTAAAAGTTAAATTACTTATGGGTGTGTGTCTGAGTGCGTCTGTCTCTCTCTCTGAGTGTGTGTGTGTGGCTCATAAAAGGATATTGTAATAACAGTGATACCTTGGAAGGCCGCCTCAAACTGCACGGGCTCTTGCGTGGGCGCACGTGAGGTGACCGTGACGAGGATCGCGGCGAGCAGCGCGGCGAGTTGCGCAACCCGCGGCGCAGCCATCTCGCCACTACGACATGCCATCACCGCCCATACTCGAGCCGCACTATGACTCTGTAACCAAGAATAAATTATGTTATGATTTTCTTTTTCTTCCACAACAAAATGATCAGAGTGTAGATAATAGAGATGAGGACTATTTGTTTATTTATCTGTCAGGTAGATTATTGAAGAATTCCCCTGATTTACCACGAGCTAACATGCGAGCGCTACAAAAAATAAAAATAAATAGTAAAAGATACGTATATTTAAGATACGTATGTCTGTGCTCTGAATTATGGACTTTATATAATTTATTTTCTTTTACCCGGTCATTATCCCTATTCTGCACCGGTAATTCGAATTCAAAACCATTCACATGCATTCTAGGCTGTTACGACCAATTGTGGTCGTAATTACCTATACAACTGATACTGTGGTATGAAGATATTCAGTCCTTATGAAATCGTTAGACCATAGAATATAAGTATAGAGTTAGAATTTAATTATTAAACTGATATTATACCTTCGTTTCAATCATCATCACCAGCCTACTGTACTCAGTGCTGGACCATAGGCCTATGGATAGCACAGAGCGGACGGGCTGTAATCGATAGCATATGTCCATAACCAACCACGTGCGGCCAGTGTGGCTTGAACGGTGTTAATCACTGCATAGTGCATTTTTATAGCCCTTATGAGTCTAATGCGGAAATATACGGAAAGACACGGTATGTTATTTGGTTGATTTTATAGCATGAATTCAGAATCTGTGAACTATCACAGATCACGTATATTTCCGCATTAGACTCATAAGGGCTATATAAATGCACTATGCAGTGATTAACACCGTTCAAGCCACACTGGCCGCACGTGGTTGGTTATGGACATATGCTATCGATTACAGCCCGTCCGCTCTGTGCTATCCATAGGCCTAAATAGCTTCTAATATTTGGCCTCTAAGTCACACCCATCCTATGACTGACCTTTGTGACAATTGCCAAATGTCCGCATCGTAATTTTAATCAAAATCAATTCTCGTATCTTAGCTAGCTTACGTCAAAGATCTTCAAGCTTCGATAACACATCAAATACAAGATGTCACGTAGAGCCGAGCAATCGGTGAAGGAAATAAAACGTAACTGTAGTCGATGTAGACAATTTAGTGAGGGTCGGCACCCTGCGCGTTATAGCTTCCTCCGTTACACCTCCACAACACTGCAACAATAGGGTTGCCATCTAGCAAAAAAGTAAATAAACCATAAATTTGAAATTTATTTTTAGTTCAATATTTTGCCCGTTGGCGTAATAGTTATAATGGTGGAAATAAATTGTAGCTATTTTCATTGGTTGTTCATTTGTTGCCATAGTTTACCGATATTACTTTCATATTTAGCGTGGAGAGGCACATACGTCGCTTCTCAACACATCAAATCTCATCAATCTCAAACAACTGGACCCTGGCAAATCAGCTGGGCCAGACTACTCCCAACTATATTCGATATTAAGACTACTGATATAATTGCTTCACCAATCACCATATTATTTAAAAGACCACTGTTCGAAAGTACTGTTCCAGATGTTTGGAAGAGGGCCTATGTAACGCCAGTTTTGAAGAAAGTTAACATGTCTGAGGGACACCTCAGACAACATGTCTAAGGGTCTATAATTAGACATAACTATAGACCCTTAGACATGTTGTCTGTCTCAGATATTCCATAATACAGAGGGTGGGGAGGAGAGTTTAGCTACTCATCTTGGAATCTGAGCAATGTATGTGATATTATTTAATATAAAGTAGACTACAGTAAGGTGTTCGATCAAATTAATCATGAGACACTTATTCTCAAACTTAGGCGTGTCGGTATCGATGGAGATTTGCTTAAATCGCTTGCTTCTTATATTGAGAGCAGGTCCCAGGTGGTAGTTATAAACAACTACATGTCCAGTTGGGTTAAGGTCCCCAGTGGCCTTCTTCAGGGATTGCTGCTGGGCCCCTCACTTTTTGTTATTATTATCGTGTCTGAGATCAGTCGATGTCTTAAACATTCTCGTCTTCTCTGTTTTGCCGATGACATAAAAGTCTTCGCACGCATAAAGAGACTTGATGATGCTAAGGCCCTATAGTCCGATTTAAACAGACTCTAAACATATTGTCAAGATAACGACTTACGACTCCAAACTATTGAAACGCATTTAGACAGTATAGTGACTAAGACTTAAAAGTCACTAGGATTTGTTAGTACAAATTTGGGTGAAATCTTTGGAATATCGTAGTCGATATTCCAAAGATTTCACCCAAGTAAAAACTTTAAAAATCCTATATTGTGCATTTGTTTGAAGTATTGTTGAGTACGCAAGTCAAATCTGGAACCCACTCTATGATATCGCGTATTTAACAGATACAAAAAAGCTTTTCCGATTTCTATACTATTGTACAATTGACTATTACAGCTTCGTGATTACAACTATTCTGTCCTACAATTTAATTCGAATTATGTAGAAAACACCATCTTGTAACACTTGCTTTACGCCTTGATATTTACGATCTCATGTATTTATTGGAAACCGTATCCAATTTATTGACTGAACTGAACTATTAAGGCAACTTTCGTTAAGAGTTCCTAATAAGCTCGAGAAATAACCCACTCCCACATCTACCTCTGGTACAAACGATCTAACGCAAAACGAATTCTTCTGTCGTACTAGAGATAATTTGAATAACTTAAATAATGTTTTCAATTTTGATTTATTTAATACTAGCCCATCTACGGCAAAAAAAAAACGCATTAAGCAATTACTTCTTTAGTTGAGTAAGTAAGCAATACTTAACTTATTGTATGTGTAAACTTTGTTTCATATTTGCGAGGACCTGTTTCATATTATTTATGTTTGGTAGCTGTAGGTATTTCTATGAATAAATAAAACTCCAAAACCTTGCTTAAATCGCCGGCATCCCGCATTTCGGCTCTATCGATCATTAGCCTATTATTAGAACATCTTATAGGTGGCGATTTAACTGATACTTATCTTGATACAATTCGAAGACGATATAACAATACTTTTTTTTTTTTTGTTTTAACCAATCCCTACTGGGTCCACATGGTGGGTTATGATCCGTTCTCCCTATTTGATTTCTTTCGATTTCATCCACGGGCAAGGCCTGCGCCCAGGCAATGGAAACATTAATAAGCTGGGAATGATGTACTTTATTTATTTTATTTAGTACGCGGCACGCGGCTTAACACTATTCAGAAAATGATATCAAAATCCGTTGTGATGTTTTAAAGATCTAACCATACATACATAGGGACGGACAGACGAAAACCGAACCTTTTCTTCATACTATGTAGTGATTGCACCTTATAATAGTAATTTTCTTCTGAGTAAAGAGACCCCTTAACATTATTAGAACTATTAATAATTGGCATCCCTAACGAGAATAGGTCTTGGAAAAGGTTAAGGATATAAAACTTTCCGGTTACATAAAACATAGTTTCTGTTTAAGCACTTTTTATACAACTAAATATACTTAACGTGTACGAAACTCTTGTTGTATTACTTGAGTAGATATAATATTAAAAAAATTTAAAAATACTCATCTTAATGCAGTTCATACACTAAATAAACTTCTGTTCAAGTCGCCACATGTTTTTTGAAGTATTTTGTGGATTTTTTTGTGATAGGTTATACATATATATATTTATGACTAACTGACATCCCGCGACTTCGTTCGCGTATAGTTTATATCACCCACCCGCATATGACGTAGCTTATCATAGGTAATAAAATTTTCAAAACCAGTCCAGTAGTTTTAGAGCCTATTCAATGTAAACAAACAAACAATCAAATTGAAATATTAGTATGTACTAGCAAACAGTCGCCCAAACATTCATTGAAATTGTTATTTGTTTAAAACCTATATTACCGATACTTATTAGAGCCTAAAGACCTCATCAAACCCTAATGGACATTTGTGCAATTGATACTTTTGTTATTTAACTCCGCTTTGTTATTTAACAAAAGACCAAGTCTGTCTGAGTGAGTAGGTCCTATATTTTCTAGAACAAAAACAGACTTTCGCCCACATTGACTTGACTGTATGAAGTAAATATCTTTGCCTATGCAGATATTAAAAAACAGAAGCCGTCAGTGTCAAAATACTGTAGTGTACTGTAGTGCAAACATGAAACCGATTTGAAAATTCGTTTCATTTTCATTTTATATGTAGAAATTAAATTATTCACTTGACATTGGCAGAATTGTACGAAATTCACAGATAAGCCACTAATAAAAGAAGAAATCGAAAAACCACGATATTATTATTACAAGTTACAAGTACACAAATAGTATATAAACTGTTTCTACAACAAATAACATTGCTTGTAGATGTTTTTATGTGATTTCTAAATAGTTCAAGTTTTAAATTATAGCACGGTAGTAATTTTTATTTCTAAGGATTTTTCAATCACAATCATGTTACGTTTACATGTATTGGACATTGTGTTTCTTGTGATACTTTTGCCGGAAAATGTAAAATTGTTAAAGAACGGTTTAGCGCTAACACCACCTATGGGTTGGATGTCGTGGGGCTACTATATGTGTGCTGTAAATTGTGACAATTATCCCGATAAATGCTTAAAGTAAGCCAACACCTTAATTTCACCTATCTAAATATAATTTTCAGTTATTACTGTTTCATGTAATTCTTTCATAGAATTCTTATCATTATAGCTTTAATAAAAAACGTTTACTAAGAGTAGTGTATGTATGTAATTTTACCTAAACGACAATTATAATATTATTGGAGAAATGAGAAAAAAATATCAGAAAATTGTAATGGTTTAATGATTGTTAATTGATGATTCTACATACAAAAATCCCTTCATCTGTCACAGTTTTATTTTGTAAAAAATATGATAGATAAGTTTATCAATATCTAGGTAATTCGTAAATCAACACAAATACAATTAAAAGTATGCCAATAATAAAATAATATTATTTTCAGTGAGAATCTTATACTATCTGTCGCAGACACTTTCTATCATGATGGTTACCAGGAAGCTGGTTTTGAGTACATCATAATAGATGACTGTTGGTCAGAGAAAGAAAGAGATGAAAACGGAAAACTTGTTCCTGATAAAAAGAGATTTCCCAATGGAATGAAGTATATAGCTGATTATGTTAGTTCATATTTTAAAAAAATGCTATTTCTAGTTTATAAACTATTAATGGCCTATTTTAGAACATGGTCTGTTAATTGTTATTATTCTAAATGTGAAATGTTATTGAAATTATTCTATAATCAATTAATATTATCAAAAGCACTTTTGAATAGTGTAATTTTTATATTAACCATCCATTTAGGATGTCATTATTGTATCCACAAATGAAATTATTTCATATTTTTCTGAATGAATGTGGTTTATATTAGTTTTTAATTAGGTATGTGATTTTAACAGATACACACTCGTGGATTGAAATTTGGCATGTATACAAATATAGCAGAAATAACTTGTATGAAATATCCAGGCTCACAGTATTTTTTTGATATTGATGCACAGACCTTCGCAGATTGGGGAGTAGACTACTTGAAAGTAGATGGATGTTTTGTCAAAGAAGATTATCTCAATACAGGTATGTAGTTTATGAAACATATTTTATCTTATTATAGTACATATTGAATAGTAGCTGTTGTCAACAGCCTTGCCATGCTTTTGAGTTAATATTACTGGTCTCTGAAGGTTTTATTATTATTATTTTTTAATTTTGTAACTTTGGTAACTGTCTGTTTCTTTGTCTGTGTTATGTAAAAGTATTTATGAAGGTAAACCTTAGTCGCTGATTTCTCATTTATTAAAGTAACCCACAGTAACACTAGCATTAATTTTGTTTTGCAAGAATTGTGTCAAATATACCATGAAATATTCAATTGAGTTATTATCATATTTGCATTACTTACAAAGGAAATCATGGAACTAAGAAGAGAATGTAATTTTTATGATTACAAAGCACTTTCTACTTTTAGGGTACATTGACCTTGGACAAGAATTGAAGAAAACTGCCAAAGATATGGTGTATTCATGTAGTTGGCCATACTATATACAATTCATTCACAAAAAAATGGTGAGGTTTGTTTATGGTTTAAGACTTATTCGCTCATAGCAATTGACGTCTGTGTTTTAAAAACTTTTCTATATTGTCTCTGGTCTGGGTGTTGTGATACTTTGTTATTCCAAGTTTCCATAATGCAAGGGCTTAGCTACTTAACTTTAAATTAAACAATGGATGTTAAACTAAACAATAACCATCACACTTCACTACCCTATTTATGTGTAGTGAATCAAATCTACTCAAATAGGGAGAGTGGACCATGACGATGGAAATCGGTGGGTGTTAACGCCTATAAATGCAGCAGGGACTAATGACTTACAGTCTTACGAAGAACGGAGAAGCTCGAGATAATAAATTTTTGGTCACCCATCCCATGACAGGCCCTTTCGAAAGTTGCTAAACAACCGTATTACAAGCCAAGAGTGCGCACCACTGCGCCATCGAGTGCTTTATGCTTATTATCTGTAAACACATGAAAACTCACACTTTATAATCCTTTGCTTTAAAATTTAGTATTGTTTTTTAGTTGTTCTGAAATAGAAGTACTTTTATGCTATTATGTATATAACATTCGCCTCGCTGCATCACCTATAGATATTTACCTATAGATAAATTATAAATACTTATTAGCTACTAAAGCATTTTCGTTCATTGGTTTCTGTTTGTACAATGTTTGTTTTATTAATATGATGTGGAATTATTCATAATATATAGTAATTTATTATTATTATTAGCCAGATTACCAAAAAATAGCAAAGCATTGTAATATGTGGCGGAATTATCATGATGTGCAACTCCATTGGCCAGCTGTGAAGGCGATTATAAATCACTATAAAAATGAATATGACCGAATCAGCCCTTACCATGGACCAGGCCAGTGGAATGACCCAGATATGGTATATCTATTAATGAATTTCTTATACTATATCCAACAAAGCTGTTAACCTATGAAATATGTATAAAGGCTTTACATTCATATATCCATTAAAGAATGTTTTAACATAATTGAAAAGTAACAAACTTCTACCAGATCATCTTTGGTACTGGAGCACTAAATGAGAATCAAAGCCGGGTCCACTACACAGTGTACCTGATGTTGTCTGCACCAATATTGCTCAGCTGCGACATGAACAAGATAACCACCTTTGAGAAAAAATTATTGCAGAATCTAGACCTTATTGCAATTGGACAAGATCCATTGGGAATTATGGCTAAACCCTATCAGGTATATTCTTACGTAAAGTAGATGACGCTAGTTAGGTCATCAGCAGCCAGTTGATTATTTAACTTTTTAAAATAATTATATATGTTAACCCTTACTTAAATTTCGAAATTTGGTGACATCTAAGGTCTGTAATAAAATAAAACTGTCTATTAAATCCGTCTTTTCTCCATCTGCTTCTGCATGTTTTTAATAATAAATTGAGTTTCCATTTTTTTTTTCAATATGTTAAAAAATGCGCCCTAGGCTTAGACTGTATCTAAATTTTTATAATGTATCTTAAATAGATGACTATAGGTTATAATTAGTATGTTATATCTCTACTTTGTGTAGAGAAAAAAAAAATAGTTATTATGTAGACAAAATTCAGAGAAATACTATTACTAAAACTACGCAAAAGACGTTAATACAAAGACGATACTGAAAAAATAAACAGAAACTACTAAAACCCCTGATAATGAGTTTCCTCAGACTTTTGATCATATGTCCCTCATAATGGGAGAGTTGATCCATTTCCCATTTTTACTTAAAATCGTCTGAGCAATTTACAGTATTAAAATATTGAAAAAATAAGTATGCAAAAACAAGCCTATATAAATTAATATATGAATGAAATTTCTAATCTAGTCTCTACAACAAATCTATAAAAAGATATGAAAAAGCGGTTCAAGTCTCCCGGACTTCCCCTAAATTATACAATTAGTGAAATTTAGCGTTATGCGGGATTTCACACTCACAGGTTTTACCGTCTTCGATATTGTAAATCACATAGACACGATTTTACACTAACATCGGAAATAAAGCAGAAAATTCTATCACCCTGGAGGTCAACGACCAATTTTTAACGATGTACCTACTTTTTAGGTATTACATATTAAATGTTCATAAATAGTATTAATAAATTATTTATTTTATGTTATTATTTTTTCTATATAGGTTTAATAGTTGACATACATTCTGTTTAAGCTAGAGCAGTTAGTGATATTATGGGTGAAACCTCACCTACCCATGAAGGGAGATAGATTCCACTCGTTCTCTTTCGCTATTGTCAACTTGGACACCGAGCAACATTTGATCTCTATATACCCAGTAGTATATGGCGTCAACTCCACCGATGGTTACTCTGTTATGGTAATATTTCAAAAGCATGTTTATTTATTCAAATTTTCTCCTGAAATTTAATATAATTATTTTCTTCTTTATTGTCGCCCTTGCAAAAAAGACTCATTATTATTAAGATTTCGCTCTCTTTTACTTCTTGTTAATAAATATTTGATTTCGTTCCTTTAACATACTCAATCAACGAATAACAATGACATCTTTTTAATCGCGTTTATGAACGTTAATACAATTGAAAAGGGTTCATATACAACCTTACTGAAAAATGATGTTATCAAGTCTAATATGAAACCAAGTATTTTTGGGTTTTTTTAGTTTTTAAATATTATTATACTTTTTTATTTTTTTGAATCTCTTTGTCCGTATCATGATCATATCGGTCAAAGAAGATAATATTCTTAATAAAAAATGTTTAAAAATCCACTTTGTTAATAAATTAATTAATAAATAACTTTGTTAAAAAAGATAATAAATAATTTTTAAATAAAATCAACTACCCTCTATATTCGCAAACCCATTCGTCTACACAATAGTAGAGTTAAATAAAGAATGTAATATATATTATTTATAAATATTATTTTGGTTTCAGGATGTGTTTGCTAATACCTTCCGTAAGAACGTCACACTGAAAGATTACATACAAGTTGTAGTGCCTGCAGAAGGTAAGATTTTTTTGAATAATTAACTATCTTAACCTACCAACGTAACCCTATCTAGGTCATAAATTCATATAAAATAAAACTTTTATAATAAGTGATATAAAACACTTTCAGCTTTTTCTTGCCTTAAAAATGAACACCTAACCTTACCCACTGTTCTCTAGAATTCACAAAAAAAAAGTTTAGAGGACTATTAAGATTTTATATAAATAATACATAAATAATCAATATAGTCGACGGTGCAGGGTTAGTTTTCTTACATTGCACTGTTTTTCCCAGCAAAAAATGTCTTGTGATTTCATGTTTCAATATATATTATTATTTTATTAATATTAACTTAAAGGTGACAATTTTTATGTTTATGTATTCAATAAAACTTCCTGGCACAGTAGATTTATATCACAAGTAGCAGCATTTATATTTAATATTTTTTTGTTCTCTATCCCTGATGATAGTGGAAATAAAAGAAGAAGAAAATGCCTATTATATTGAATTGTCAGAGTCTCTGTCAAATCACTGTAGTCAACATATTCTAATTGTAAATAATAAAATAACTGGCCATAATAGAGATTCAGAACATTATATATTTTTTTACCTTTTGTTTCAGATGTTATTCTTTATACGTTGTTCCCGTTATAAAATATGTTTAAGTGTTCAATTATAATTAAAAAAACCTGTAGATATAATTTAAGTTTAGCGTTATTACGTAATTTATAAATTGGGATCTTATTAATTTTTAAATAATATTTTTTCTGAAGTACCACAATGTATTTTTCGTTATAAGTAGCATAATTAAAAGCTGCATAATATCCACATTGTAACTTCCTACCGCACTTTCTCAGCGTGAATATTTAATGTTTGTTTGAGAAAAACCTGTAGTAGGTATAAAAAGATACAAAGAAATACGAATCTGGAGTCTAAGCTTGGCAGTAAAGTCATTACGAATTTAAGTAGGGAATAACTTATTATATTTGTAAAGATATGGGTATGTACTTACATACTTTTCATAGAACTGATAAGTGCTCATATATAATTTTGGTTTAATTTATAAAAAAATATTCTGTATTTAGTATTACCTTTGTTATTTTATTATATTAAATAATATTCTGGGTAAAAAACAAATTATCAAAACAACTTGGGTACTTGAGTCAAGATGTACCTACAAACTTTTACTACTTTAACTCTAACTTTTTATTAGTAGTATTTTTGTATATATACTTAGTACTTTATATGTTTGTTTTTTGGGGAGTTTTTAAATGTTACGATGAGTCAGAAAACTGATGTCAACGTCAATGGTCTTTTTTTTTGTATAATATCGATATGACACTGCATCAGTTAGTACCGATAGTACTGCTATCTGTAAAGTACAAAATAATAATAAAGCCTTTTTTGCTTATTCTTTTTAGTGTTCTCTATAGTTTGAATTTAACTCATAAATTGCACCAATTGTCAGGGTCCAAAACAAGTCAGTAAAATCAGTTAGTATTAATGTGAAATGGCCATTTATTTCAGTATTTTTCTTTGTCCTTTGTACATTTAGTTGCTTTAATGTTCTAGTATTATAATTATTTACGTATATTTATTTAATTCTTTTCATCCGTACAAGGTATTGAAACGGTCAGTGTTTTTGAATTTTATGTCAGTAAAGTCAACGTTTTTTAACGTTCAACTTGTTTCTGTACTTCTTTTCTATGTACTTTTTACTGATATATACTTTTTACCGAGCGTACGGTGACACGAAACGTGAAATCGGTCGCTACATACTGTATAATTAACGTATTGTCAGTTAAGTGTAAAGGAAAAACTAACTATGTATGATGAATGATAGATAATACAATCACTTGCGTACGCCCGCTGTCAGTCGGCGGCTGACAGGTTTTGGGATAAACGCAGCCTTAGTCGAAAATTTACGTGTGCTCACATTATTGTGATATTAGTTAAGCTATTTATTGTACATAAGTAGGTAATATATTTTAATAAATGATAATAATTACGTAGCGTTTGATTTTCTTTCAACTCTCTATACCTTTGCAATCTGATTGCCAATTTTATTCTTGAAATAATGAAGCAAGCTAATCTGGAAATGAAATTTCATTGTAAGCGTAAACTTTTATCAATCGTAAAAATCAATCGTCGTAACGAATGTAAAGTAATATTAACTTAAGCCCATTTAATGAAGTGCCTACTAAAATTTTGTTTGTTAATAGGGGTGTAGACAACTCGCTTTTTATAATATAGTTATCTAAAGAAAATATTTTGAAAAATCATTCATATAATAAGTGACAATCTAATATTTCCCGCGAATACGCCATTCTGTCATGGCATCGCTATGACGTCACGGCACTCTAAAACGAATATCGTTCTATGTATGCATAAGGTTGAATTCTCTAAGTTTTGATAGCGTATGAAGGTGACATCACGCGCTGTTTGCGGTTACGTGACAACGAGTACATTTTTTTTCATAATTAGTTTAAGCAATATTGTAAATTTTATGGCAGTTTACCAATACCGATTATTACCGATAATCGGTGTCTGATACTTACATTCGAAAAAGAAATTATTTTTAAAAGCACAAATTAAATTAAATTTAGTTTCAATGCAGCCAAATACCAGGACTCAAAACCAGGTTCATTTACTCTCGCTTAAACCAGGGCTCCTCTTCCACCACGCCCTTAAAAGGGCAGATTAATGTGGAAGCCCTACCTGGTAAAACCCGCTGCGGTTCACCTCACGCGAATAGGAAGAACCCGGTATCCTCCAAGGAGGGCCGGGTAAACCCTCCGTAGCACCTACCAGTATTATGTATTATCTATCTTTGCTGCGTGACCTACCTCGCACGCCGGTTTCAAAGGTCGTCATCTCTGACAAAACAAGTGATTTTTTTCATGCGTGTTTGGGTATAGGCTTGTGTCCTACAACTGAAAATAAAGATTTTTGTTTTATGTTCGGAAAATATGAACCATTTTAACTTATAAATATTTAACAACATAAATTTTATACCACTTATTTGGAAAATATTGCGCTTTGAAAACTTGAAAAAGTAGGGAAAATATACAAAAAAAAATGTAACAATACAAATGACATTTAATTTGTTACATGAAACGTTACAACTTTCATTTAAACAAACGCACAAATAACAAAGATATTACAAAGTTTGCCCAGTCGCCCATACTTTTTTCACTACCGTAGCACCGTGTGACGTCACTTATTGCATTGAATTTGTAGGGAGTGTTTTCGTTTAACTAGCAGCAGTTCCACAAACACAGCACCGTATCTCCGAAACTATTTCTCGGATTTTAATGGACTATTTATATATTGAATAAAAAAATGTTGTCTACTAGCCTATTGTGGTAGCTTCGTTGTTGCAGATACTCCATAATACAAATTGATTTAGCTACACATCTTAGAACCTGAGCAATGTATTTATTTATTAAACATAACTTTAGCCCAATGATTATATTAGATCAATTAATTTTTCGTTCACAATGCTTTACTGAAAATAATCTTAATAAATTTTTTTGAAATGAAAAATCCACTGTCCTTGGCACTCTGAGATGGACTCATCCAGTGAAATGAAATGAAAATATCTTTATTCAAGTAAGCTTGTTACAAGCGCTTTTGAATCGTCCAAACATTTTTTTTCCCTATCACTTGTTCAGGACGTCTTTTAGGGGGTGACCCAATTACATAAGTATGTTTATATTTGATCTGTTGTATGTTAAGACATAGCTTAGATAAGTAGTTTAAATATTATAATATACAAAACTTTCTTCCGTTATATATTTAGCTTACGTTATAGGTATAAATATACAGTATAAGTAGGTAATGATTTAAAATTGGGAACCCTAGCGTTGAGTTGAAAAGAAAGAGGTCCCAGAAATTTGATCTCTCGGAATAATCGAGAACAAAGACGCTCATTTGGTAAAAAATTTGATCAAGGAAATGAGGCCTTATTTACATAACTTGGTTATCTAGATTTATCATTTATATATACTCAAATGATGTACAGCGTGGTCCAAATTTGGATTCATTTTTATAATTCTTACTAATAAAAAACAGAATATCATAACCCGATCTGAAAAGTATAATAAAATGGTTTATTGCAAATTTCTGTTTTTTTTTTTATAACGAGTTTGGCATAATATGTGGTCATTTCGAAAAATAAAACTATCATTGATATTCAGATAAAATTTAACTTACGTAGATTACTTCTTTAATTTCCAGGTACATGTTGAACATAATACTTTTACTACCTTTTTGAAAAGAAATAAATAAATGTTCATGAAGGAAGAGATATATGATTTTTTTTTGTAATCTATAGTCATCTAAATAAAAAGGTTTTATATGCCGACCACAATTATTTTTGTAATATAAAGAAATAATGCCCTATAAAGAATAAAGAAAAAATATAAAGAAATAAAATGTAAAAAAAAATAAGAGAAAATAAAATAATACCCATTTGTAAGGTTTTTGTATAGTAAAATTGATAGAAAAAAACAAAACCTCTAACCTTTTTTATGGGAAATAAATCAATGTCCGAGTCACTTTGTAGCCGAATTTTTTATGTACAGTAAGTAATCCCAAATCATAGTTCCTAATTAAATAGGTGTTAAAATTTGTCCCTCTCTTTGACGGGTGCGTTGATTTCGTTTGTTTAATTGACATCGTATATACGTTCATAAGACATAAGCCAAGAACTCGTGTTTCATGAACATCACGTCTAAATGAACTACCATTCAAAGTAAACTACTAGAAATAGAAATTCGATACCAAATCCACTTCTAAGCTTATACAAACATCAACAAATGTTGAAGTCTCCTAACATATTTAGAACCGGTTATAGACATCTGTTCAGTAACTGACGAGGTTCTAGTTACGTTGGACCTTTTAGTTATGCAACTCCGAGCCCCATCGGACAAGTGTTGTGTCTACAAGACGTAGTTGCAATGTCTCTATTAGAATTTAATAACGTTAGCTTATTCTGCTGTGATTTCTTGAAGCTACATACGTGTGGTTAGAATATGAAATATAATCTAACGTGGCTTTTCGTCTGCTCAATCGAATATTACTGAAAAGGCTCTAGCTTGTTTGAAATTATAATTAAGCTTTATTGTAAGTAAATTAATTTTGCAAATGTTATAAAAAGGAACAATTTAATTGATTGTGTGACACTACTATATCAGTTTTGAAAATTCTTTTACCTATGAAAAGCTACGTCTTACACAGGAAGTCACGGCAAACGGAAGGGGTGCGGTCGTCTAACTCTAGCCATGATTTTAGCCATAGGATACGAGCCATGTATACCTCACTACTTTAACAGTTACTTTATTTAGTTATCATTATTATGAGGTTGTACTTGACAACAGCGTTACCAAATTATTAATTTATCACAAATTTATCCACCAAATGACATGTCAAAAAAGTAATATGAAATGAAATGCCGCTATAACGTTGATAAGATGTTGTATCCTATGACTAGAGTCGGCGGTCGCACCACGGGTAGTAAATATGAAATATTTGAATATCTTACAAAACTGAAACTTAACTCTTTCAGTGTCTATTTTGAAACTATAAATTCTACAACGATACCTAAGTATGTATACATGTGATCGTATTTTTTTTTATTTGTCATCATTAGA